TCCTCGTCCTCGTCCGTCGTTCGTTCTCGTTCTCGTTCGTGCATCGGTCCTCATCGGCGTCGTCAACGTCGTGCGCGCGGGCTCGTCTACACCCCACGGCGTCCGTCGCGAGCGAGCAGGGGGGAGCGCCCGCGCCCTCACGGGAAGGCGTCGCGAGAGCCGAGAACGAGGAAGAACAACCGTGACGCGGGCAGGTAGGGAGCGAGGAGTCGAAGTCGGGAGCGGGTTCAGGGGGGTGGGGGGCGGGTCAGGCAAATATTCACAGCAAGCAGAGCAGGGCAGGCGCATAAATAGACTTTGGGGGGGTGCTTTTGGTCGAGGTCGGGTGATGGGGCGGCGGGGGGGTGGTCGTTCTCGTTCCTTCTCCTTCTCCAGGCAGTCGAGGTAGTGGGTAGTGGACGCTCCCTCTCCAACGACGAGGGAGCGCGCAGCGCACGCGGTTGCGCACGCAGACACCTACTCCTTATGCCGACTAATCTTCTCCACCCCCGCACTCAGCGCCGTCACCCTCCTCTTCTCCTCCTCCTCGTCCTCATCTTCGTCTTCATCCTCGTCTTCGTCATCATCATCATCCTCGTCCTCTGCGCCCTTCGCTTCCTTCCCCTTGACTTTCTCATCCTCATCCTCCGACTCATCCTCCGAGTCCGAACTCGAGCTCGAACTCGAGGACGAACTCCCCGATCCAGAGCCCGTCACCGTAATCGCCGGCGCGTCCCCATTTCCGTTCGCACCCACCGCACCCGCCGCACCAGCCAACCCCACCCCCGAACTCGACGCGCTCCGGTGGTGCCCATGCGAGTGCGAATGCGAGTGCGAGTGCGAATGGTGGTGCCCCCTGAAATGCGCGGGCAGGTTCACGGCGCGGAGGACGTGTTCCTCCGTCGACGCAGCGGACGTGGGCGGGGTGGCGGACGCGAGCGACGGCGTGCCGAGCGGGGAGGCCGTGGTAGAGGCGGAGCCGAGGGCGGGGAGCGGGAGCGGGGATGGGACGGACGCGGACGCGGACGCAGAGGCAGGTGGCGAGGCCAGCGTCGCGGCCGGAGACGAAGTAAGCTCCGTCGGCGTCGGCGTCCCGCTCCCATTGTCGTGTTCCCCTTCCTTGTCCTTCTCCTTGTCTTCTTTGCCCTCCTTCCCGCCTTCTGCTGCGTCCCCACCACCCTCCCCCTCTTTCATCCCCTCCTTCTCCTTCTCCTTTTCCTTTTCCTTGTCCTCCCCCACCGCCCCATTCTCCTTCTCCGCCTCCTCCCTCTCCTTCCTCTCCCTCTCCACCCTCTCCCTCTCCCGCGCCTCCCTCCTCCTCCGCACCCACCCCATCCCGCTCCCATCGTCGTCGTCGTCGTCCCCGCCCGTGGAAGACACGACGCCCATGCCCACCGCGCCCGCGTGTGCCGAGGCGTGTCCGTTTTGTGTTGTTTGTGAAGAAGAGGAGGTGGAGGTGCCGTTGGTTTTCGAGCCTAAACGCGTGATGAGAGATTAGTTAGTTATGATATTGCGATAAAGGAGGACGAAGAAAACGCACCTCCCCCCCCCTGCACGCCCTTCCACGCCGCATGCCCGTTCCTCACGGAACCCATCCCGCCGTACCCCCACTCGACAAACTCGGGCTCGTCGTCGCGCGCGTTGCCGAAGGGGTTGTGTGTTCCTGGTGGACGCGTTAGTATACAAGTTATGGAGATGAGAGGAGGGAAGGGAGGGAGGAGAGAAGAGGCTGGGAGGGGGGAGACAGGAGATGAAGGGGAGAAGGTAAAAAAAGCGGCGCAGCGACCCAATCATCGTGCGCGAGGGCGGGCATCCGCCAATCCGCGCACACGCACACGGACGCCGCCCGAGCCCGACCCGGAGGTAGAATAGCCAAAGAGGAACGCCCAGCGAACGAACGAACGCGCGCGTCGACCGAGTCGTCGCCCACACCCGAATTACGATGTCCCATGGGTATCGACTGCGCCTCTGGCGTGTGTGAGTGCGTCCCCAACCGTCCGCACGGCGACATCCGCCACCGTACGCCGCACCCACCAACGCGTACACATATGCACCCCTGACGACACGACACACAGACGCCGCCCGAGCCCGAGCCCGAGACAGGAATGCGAATAGAATATGGAATGCGGAAACGAAGAATAAAGAAGAAAGGAAAGGGGGTATGCGTATGTGGAAGGAATGAACGAATGAATGAACGAATGAATGAATGGATGGATGAATGGATAGACAGATGGGGGGAAGGTGTGAAATGAAAGCGAGGAGCGAGGGAGCAGAATGAATAGGAAAGGAGACCCCAACGAAATGAACGAACGCGTGCGTGCGCGTCGTCTGAGCAGCACGCGCAAAGTGCCTCGCCTCCTCTGCATTAGAGGTTCGCGACCCAGCCCCAGGTGTGAATGTACGCCCATGGCCAGCGTAGGCCAGCTTCCGAGGAAGCCACGCCGCGGATAAAGCGTGCAAGTCAAGTCAAGTAAAACGAAGACGAAGACGAAGGCGAAGAAATATGGGACACGCGATATGAACCCGAAGAATGAACCCGCGAGGAAATGGGGAAATGAAAAAAGTGGGCCGAGCACAAAGCAAGGACGTAAAAAAAGCAAATGGCGTGAGGCGAGGGCGAGGGCGGAGGGGGGCGCAGAATAACGGCGGCCCGTAGCGCGAACAAAGAGACAGAGAAAGACTCACCATTAGCATTCCGACTCCCATACACCCTCCCATTCAACATCCTCGTCCCCCTCTTCCCGCCGAGCGAATTCGCAAAGGGATTCAGCGCAGGCGGCACGCTCACGCTCCCGCTCTTGCCCTTGCCCTTCCCGCTCTCCTCCTTCGCGCCCCCGCCGAAGAGCGACCGCCCGCGCTTCTTCGGCGTGCTCGTCGAGGCGGTAGAGGTCTGACTCTGCGACCTTGCAAGGGGCGAGCCGTTAGTGGAGGCGGTGGACCCCCAGCGCGTGAGGGGGGCGCCCCACGCGGGGTCGCTGGGAGAGAGCGGGTTGGCGTCGAGCGAGGGCGTGGGTGTGAGGCTGTCTGTGCTGCTCGCCGGCGTGCCCGTGCCCCGGCGGAATGGTCTCAGGAAAGACTTTGGCTTGGGCCAGGTAGAGCTCTTGCTTGGAGGGTGGAAGGAGCTGGGCGGGGCTGGAGGGAGGGGGATGGATGCGGGGGCGGCGGGGGAGCTGTATGGGGAGCTGTAGGGGGAGGAGGAGGAGGAGGGGAGGGGGCTGCGGGGAGGCATGGGGGACGGCGGGGGCATGGCGGTGTACGCAGCGGCGGGAATGCACTCGGCAGCGTCGGCAGGGTCGGGGAGGGGCAGCTCGTCGCCGTCGTCGGTGAGCATGATGCTCCGGCGGGGGTCGGGGAGCGGGGCGAATCGGATACGTCTTGGTGGTTTTTGCATTGTGGGTGTATTTGCGCTGTTGTGGCTGGCGCTGGTATGAGAGGAGGTGCTTGATGAGGCAGAGCTTGATGCGCTTGTTGATGCGCTAGTCGACGAGGAGAGACTGTTTGTCGAGGGCTGACTTGGCAGCAGAATAGACTGCGGCGGGGACAGCAACGACATGGTTGGACTGGTCAAAGCTCTGATTCACACCAAGAAATCAATAACAGCGGTGTCGGGTGTCCGCCAAGCAATTTCTCATATAACATAACCCCGGCTTTCTTTTCTTGCTTATCTCGAACTGCTTTGATTTTGCTTCCGTCACTGTCCGCGCCGAACGCCTATAAATGTCCTTCGCCGGGGCATCTTACACAACGATATGCTTCCCTAATTGGTCCCCGTCGATTTGTCCCTCCTATCCACACCCCGGCACTTCCCGCGCCCTTTTCTGTTCCCATCTCCCATCACTCCCACTCTCCAGGGTTTTCCGTCTTTTCCGCGCACCCCGCCCTTACCCGCAGACGCGACGAACGTGGTCCAGTCGACGAGTCGTGAGACATTCCGACTGTGAGACGTCACAGTTGTTTACGGCTTACCGAATTACCGACTTCACCATCCATCAAAAATTATCATAATCATCCAGCCTGAGAAATCTGACGGTGCCGCCCGACGCGCGTTTCCTTACAGCGGGTGGCGTCCCGTTCCTTGCTTACCCACCGTTTCCACGTCGTACTGCGATCATCATGGCCATCCGCGGCGCGCATTCCTCCGTGGGATAATCAACGGCGATGTGCACTTCAAGTTGATGCTCCGTCGCTTTGCTTCCGGATCGACGACTCGGAGGGCCTGGACCTTTCTGTGGGCGCCCCGTCACGACCCGGCCACCCCCGAACCGAGCCCACAAACGCCCACATCTCCTGTTTTTCTTTTGCAATTCGCCCAGCTGGTTCGTTCTTTTTCAAGTCTGCTTCAACGTGGCCCTCGTACTTATGAAAACCGCATGCCGATCCTGGACGAGGCCTTGGCGGACGTGCAGATGTCTTCAAGTTTGGTGAATCCTATGTACATACGCTTGCGAAGCAGCCCTAGACGACCCTACGTGCCAGCGTATTCGAACGTGTGTCTGGGATACGCAGCCCTGCAACGCGTCTCCAAATTCCAATCGTAACATACATGCATGTAAGGTAATCCCGTCTCGTCACTGTATTTCCGCAAACAAACAAACAAATGGTCCTGAACTTCGAACGTGCGCTGCTTCGATCCACTTCCACGAGGCAGGCTCATCGATCATCCTATCCGCTCTCAGGCTCGCCACTCTCGGTCCTCAGGGCCAGCGGGACTGCAAGCGCGAGGAAGTAATATCGTTTCTCAACACGAACCGCTCGATCTGTCTCTGACTCGGACATGCCCTCGGAGTCTTGTTCAGTCTCAGGCTGCCGTCTAAGGTCTGTTCGAATCACCTATTCATCCGAGCGAGAAGGGAAACGTCTGCATGTCTATAGTTGTCTACATCTTGGTTCGATCTTCAAGTTCGTTTCGTTTCATTTTGTATCCTACGTACACACATCTCCAACGAAAAAAAAAGAAAAAAAAAACGCTAGTTGAAGGGAAGGAAAATTGAAAATTGAAAAAACAGGGGGATCCTCATGCATGGCCCAACCCCGAATTGAACGAGGGTCCTCCTGCTTACAAGTGCAGTTTATTTGAAGCAGGCGCACTAACCAACTGTGCTATTGGGCCAATGATTTTCTTTATTGCTGGCTACTGGTGTATACTGGTCCACAATATTACTTAGCGGAGTCGCGTTCAGAATTCAACGAACTGGTTGAACAGTCAATATAACATATTCTGCGTGGAACGGCACCCAAAAATATGACGAGCGTGTTGAGAGAAACGACAATGGAATAAAAGTGGAGAAAGTGGAGAAAGTGGAGAAAAGTGGAGAAAAAATAAAAAAAAGCCGAACTTGCCATGGCCCAACCCCGATTCGAACGAGGGTCTCCTGCTTACAAAAGACGGGAGTCCAGACCAATTTAGAGCAGGCGCACTAACCAACTGTGCTATTGGGCCGATAACTCTCTTCCTTGTTGGCTATATAGGTGTATACTGAAATATGGTGGTGACAATATTAGTAACGGGTCATGTTCAGAATTCATTCAATTCAACAAGCCGACTCAAACTGGTTGAAAATGCACACTCAAAAGTATTAGTAACATATCCTGCGTGGTATCGTTGAACGAACCCCAAAAGAATTAGCAAGGAATAACAGAATAACAGAATAAAAGAGAAAGGGGGAAAAAAAAAAGAGAAAAAATCCGCATTCATCCGGTATGACCCAACCCCGGATCGAACGAGGATCTTCTGCTTACAAAAGGCCAAATCGAAGCATTTAGAGCAGGCACACTAACCACTGTGCTATTAGGCCGATGATTTTGTTCCTTGCTGGCTACTGGTGTATATTGAGATGGTGGTGACAATATTAGCGGGTCATGTTCAGAATTCAACGAGCCCACTCAATCTGGTTGAAAATGCACACTCAAATGTAACATATCCTGCGTGGTATTGGTATCATCGAACGAACTACCGCAAAAGAATTAGCAAGTTGAAACCGCAGAATAACAGAATAAAAGAGAGAAAGGAAAAAAAGAAGAACAATTTTATGCATAAAGCATAGCCCAACCCCGGATCGAACGAGGGTCTCCTGCTTACAGGTCCACCACAATTCATTTAGAGCAGGCGCACTAACCACTGTGCCATTGGGCCGATGATTTCTCTCCTTGCTGGTCACATACCAGTGTATGCTGAGATATGGTGGTGACAATATTATGTAGCGAGGTCATGTTCAACAAGCCAACTCAAACTGGTTGAAAATGCGTGGTATCGTTGAACAAACTACCCCAAAAGAATTAGCAAGCTGAAACCGCAGAATAACAGAGAGAAAGAGAGAAAGAAAAAATAGAGAGAAAAGATTAAAAATTCAAAATTCAAAAAAACTGCCACAGTTCGAAGCATATGGCCCAACCCCGGATCGAACGAGGGACCTCCTGCTTACAAAGATATTCTCTTTCGAATCATTTACAGCAAGCGCACAAACCAACTGTGCTATTGGGCCGACAACTTTGTAAGCTTGTTCTCTGACTTTGTTGTACGACAATGGTGGTGGCGAGATAGCAATATCAAACGGGGATTCATGTTCAGAATTGGTTCAGAACTCAATGTTCACCTTGAACTGGGACAGTTCAAAGAAGGACGTACAGAGAATGAGCGAGAATACATCTTCATGTAACTGTGCCTCGAAAGTTGAACCCGTCTGCTTTCAAGGTGGTTCCAGTCACTTATGTATAGTTGAAAAAGTCCTCCCAATATCCGACTCCTCCACTGGCCCTCTCATCCAACAAACATGTTTCACAAACTCTCAAATAAATGGTGGGTCTGTTGAACGAAACAACAAAATAAAAGAAAGAAAAGAAAGAAGGAAAAAGAGATCACTCTCAATTATGGCCCAACCCCGAATTGAACGAGGGACCTTCTGCTTGTAGTCATGGCAAGAAACAAACATAACTTAGAGCAGGTGCACTAACCACTGTGCTATTGGGCCAATGATGTTTTGGCTTGTTCTCTGATTTTGTTGTAGGACAAGGTAGTGATGTAATTTGTACTTAGGTCATGTTCAGAATTCAATGTTCAACTTGAACTGGAACAGTGAATGAACCAGAAGACATGGTTGAAGTTGTGGTTGAAAAAGTGGAGTAATGCAGGCACTTCCTCTTATCCGAGTCCAATTGCTACCGGCTCCCTCACGTCTCGCTCGAAAAAGCCCACCCAAAAATTGCGCGCTTGTCAAAAGAAAAGAGAGAAAAAGGAAGAAAATTCAAAAAATTGATTGAAATGTTATGACCATGGCCCAACCCCGAATCGAACGAGGGTCTCCTGCTTATAAGAAATGAGATACAGACAAACTTGAAGCAGGCACACTAACCACTGTGCTATTGGGCCGACAATTTTCTCTCTTGCTGGCTACTGGTGTATGCTGAGATATGGTGGTGACAATATTAGTGCCAGTGGGGTCATGTTCAGAACTTAGCTTTAACAAGCGGATTCCTCCAACTCAAACTGGTGGAAAGCCTAAGGCGCACTCAAAACTATATCCTGCGTGGAACGCCACCACTAATACCCACTCCCAAAAATTAGCGAGTTGAAAAAATTTAAAACTTAAAAATTTACTTCCACCGTCATGACCCAACCTCGGATCCTCCTGCTTACAATCAACGATTTACCGTGCGAATTTGAAGCAGGCACACTAACCACTGTGCTATTGGGCCGATGACTTTCCTTCAGTGACAATTGTGCTCTGATTTATGTTGACTCACAACTGCGATGGTTGAAAAGTGGAGTCGGCACCTCCCGGTGGCTGTTTCGTGGCATTCCTCCTCCTTCATCCTTCATCCTTCATTATCCGTTCCCTGCCTTATTTCAGGGTCTATTTCAAGCCGACTTATTTCCCACTGGAAGAAAGGTACCGTACCGACAAATTCATTTCATTTTGTGCCTTCACCTCGGACAGAGATCGCGATACACCGACGAGTACCATGGTCGCCAGGTTCAACCTCGATGTCACCCGCCAATTCGTTGACTTTTACTACTAGACGTTTGACTCTGATCGCATAAAACTTGCACTACTTTACTTCCCGCTCGTCTCATTCGATCTCCAAGTTGATTCGAAGTTGTCCGACGTCCTGGACCTACAGCGCGATACCTCCATTCTATTCTACGAAGGCCAACAGATCTTGGGCACCGCGGCAATTATAGAGAAACTAACGGTAGGGTACCCCCCTGCATCCATCTACCAAGTGTCTCACCCGGCAACGTGCACGGTGCCAGTCCCTCTCGTTCGAAGTCAAGACAAAGGACGCGCAGCCTTCGGTGACGGAGTCCAACCTCCTTATCTGTGTGACCGGAGCCCTGGTCGTGCGTCTGTCTGTCTCGTCATCGTACGGGCTCCGATCGTTCAACTGCTTACTCCGTGCCACATCTCGCACACACGCAGATCGACGACAACGATTCGTTGCCGTTCAGTGGGACATTCTACCTGATTCCAGACGGCGGGAGCTACTACATGTGCGTCTATCATCCCTCAATCTGCCTCGAGCGCCGCGGCATCAACTTCTCTAGCTTCAACCATATTTTCCGGCTCATTTCCGAGTGATCGCTCTGATTCTGAAAGACGGATAGTGGGACCAATGGGTGAGCAGGGGTATGTACGATAACCTTAGACTGTTTTCTTTCTTCCTTTCCTTTACTGATGCAAATTCGCTACCCAAACCACCCCGTAAATTCCGAGTCGTATTCGGAACTCAATATTATATTCCCATCTCTTCAATTCTCCCAACGAAAGCGCAGCGTATTCAAACGTGTCCGCGCGCGCCTCAGCTTCGGGGTCAGCGGGACTGGCTTCAACTTGAAGCCTCGAGGAATTTCCGCGTGGAGGATTTGAAGGAAGTTCCGCAATTCGTTCACCTGTCAGTATTCAACATTCAACTTCAATACCGGGAAATCATTTCCACGAGCATATCATCTCTTTATTTCTTTGATCCAGGCCCTGAAATGCTCTCGTTCTGACTGCCCTTTGTCGTCTGTTCTGTTCTGTACTGGTTCCCCATCGTCGCTTATCAGTATGTTTTGCAATCGGTTCGGTCATATCCACTGTTGTTGGTTTATACATCGGTTTGAATGCACATCTGTTCACTCAATGTCACTGTAACATGTACTGCGTGGTGTTTCAGTGAAAGACATCCCAAAAAAAATGACGAGTTGGAAGGACGAAAAGAAAAGAAAAAAAGATCACTTCCATCAATCGGGCATGACCCAACCCCGAATTGAACGAAGGTCTCCTGTTTAAAGATAAGGACTTACAAATCAGGTGCACTAACCAACTGTGCTATTGGGCTGGTGACTTCTTTGGCTTGTTCTTTAATTTTGTTGTAATACAGTGCGGTGACGATTTGGATAGTACATATTCAACAACTCGCAGCAGATTTCGTTAAATTCAAGTTGAACCTCCGTTCCGAGTCCAATTGCGCAAGAGACTGGATTAAGCATGCAATCTTTACACGAAAGTGCCCCGGAGAAACATTCAAGCAGAAAAAATGGCGTGACTTGTGGTTGAAAAAAGTGGAATCGGCACTTCCCGGTGGCTGTGTCGCTGTTTGGCTCTTGTCCTCCTCCATTTCTTGTCCCCTTCCCAAAGTTCGAACGCCGGAGAAATGCTAGCAGCGCCGGCTCTCCTAATGCTCTGAATCCGGCTCAGCATAGATTTTCCACGTCGTTGGCATCGAGCCATGGGCCGCAACAATTAGGAAGAGTGGGCCTGGCTCACGATCTATCTATCCCCTGCCACCTCTCCCGGGCCCACAGTCGATCCTACTAGCGATAAACGTACACCCATGTGCACCCACAATATTTCTACTACCTCTTCTTATGATGATTATTGCTCTGGCGTGGAACTGTCAACTATCACAAAATCGCGACGGCTTTTACCGACTTCGATTGGCATTGCGGGGTCCCTCCTGCAGCCACTGGTGGCGGACACAATCTCATCCACAATCGATCCTAGGTACCAACCTGACACTTTCGAATCCAAGGCAATTCCCGAGCTCTTTGGTCGACGCGTCGCCCTACACAATCGATCCCAGCGACTCTTCGAACGTGGGCCTATATACCCCGGCCCCAACACATTTTTTTCTCTCTTTTTTTTTCGTATTCCAACTCTGGCCGGGGCCATCGTCGCAGAATCAGAATCACTGTCACCGACGAAATTAGATTCGGGTTAAGGATCCCGGATCTCCTTCTTTAATGTCCGTCTATCGCGACTATTTTTTGCTGGTGCTAGTCCTATCTACTTCTCCTGTCCGCCCAGGGCCTTCACAACGATCATTCCGCGGTAATATGCTGCCCTCTGATCCAAATCCGATCAGGACCGTGTCTTACTCCCGCCAACAATATTATTAATCGACGACTCGGACTGCCAGCGCAGCGTATTCGAACGTGCGGCTCGCATCCACTCACTACGCCGGGGGCCATCGACTCGGACTCGGAGACTGTCACAAGCGGCTCGAATCAGCTGCCAGTGGCCCGGGGTAAACTAATCTCTTCCAATTGTAGATTTTGTCTGTTGGCTGATCTATTGCGCCATCCGAATTCTCGGCTGTTGAATTTTCTTTGCAGTTTTTCCTTCTATCCCCATGGCAAGTATTTCGTTAAATTACTACGCGTCACATCGTCCAAACCCGATCAGAATAATCGAACCCGTGTCTTTCAGACGACTGCCAACGCGGTGTATTGGAACGTGTACCCCACCGAGTCTCCCCGGAATCAAGTCGCTCACCACGGAAATTACAGTAATGTTTTTGATCGCTGTCTGTTCTT